CGCTCCTGCGAGTGGATGATCTGCCGGGAGCCGCCGCCCGGTGGCAGGGGGGGCTCCTCCCTGGACCCGCCCCGCCACTCCTGGGACGGCTCCATGGTGGGCAGGGCCTTCGCCTGCTCCTTCGCGTGCCTAGAGGAGCCCTCCGATGGCGTCACCAGGGTCAGGCACAGCAATGCAGAGGAACCGGCCGGGGAGCGCCCTGCTGCCGGGGTGGCATCCGAGAGCAGGAACGGGGGGCATTCCGCCGATGTGGCCGGCGGCGAGGGGCCGAGGTTCAGGGAGAGGAGGAGCTGCAGTGACGCCGGCCTGGAGATAACCGTGTCAGCCTCAGGTGTCCGGCGCCGGAGGTCCAACAGGTGGAGCAGGGTGTGGGATCGCAGCATCACGAGTCCACTCAAGGAGTTCGTGAGGAAGGGGGAGCACGCTCTTGACCGGTCCTTCTCGGAGTCGAGGAGGGAAACCAGGAGGTGCAAAAATGGGGAGACAACAGACATCGAAAATGGCGAAATTCACCATGGCCGCAACGGGTCGGCACTTCCTGGCAGAGCAAGCCAGAGCACAAGCAGAAGATCACAAGCTCACACGGCTAATGGGGAGGAGCAGAATTTCCGCACGGATTGGCTCAGGAACAAGGAATGCAGGATCAGCAGGAGCAGGAGCGTGCATTACACTTCTCCTGGGAACTTCGATAATGGGATGCTGCGGTTTTACCTGACGCCGATGAGGAGCAACAGAGCCGCAAACAGGGGGAGGAGGAGAAGCTCGCGCTTGTTTGGAAGAGGACTTTTTGGTTTCGTTTGAGTGGCTCAGGTTGAATGCCATACATTTTAGAAGATGGCAGCAGCACAAGCAACTTTTTCTTCAGAATCTACTTGGTTTCTTAGAAGTGGCTAACTCTGTAAGTTGTTCAGCAGCTACATTCTTTCTGCAGTACATTATTAAGCCCAACTTAGAGTCAGGAAGATTTAGCATAAGTTGCAGATTTGCTGCTGCTCTGTTCTTTTAAGACATTGCTTATAGATGGAATCAGGACTGTGCTGTCCAGATTAGTGTATCAGGTGTAATTATTTACATTATAATAATATTCGTATCAATTCTTCCAATCAGTAAAGGTATATACTGTTCTAAACTTGTAACATGTTGTTGCCTCCAAAACATATGCCATATGCCTATCCATGGACAAGATCACGAGCCAGAGAACTTTGAGCTGCTGTGTCTCATTATTAGAAATAGCCACATATGGCCCATATGCTACACAGCTTACACAGAGAAGGGAATAATATAAGCTGTGTATGAACTTTCCTGCTCTGCAACTCTTGCACTTTTGTTGTTAGTTTCTGTTTCCTATATTTTGTAGACTGTCTGTTAACCACTGGTCCATGCTGTTCATTGCTCTACAAATGACATTGAGGCTGCACTGGTGTGGTCCTTACAGAAGGCATGAGAGTTCTCAATGGTGGGGTCCTTGTGCCAAATGATTCCATATGTATCCCCAACTTCAGTCAGTGTATTCACATCTTTAACTTGTCTAGGTAAGGATACAGTATAAACCGATTGGCACTCGTGTATTTTGTTTTAGTCTAGGAAACAGGCATTTGAAGGTCTTGCCTGTATATGTTTGCTCTTGCTAGATCAGCTAGCTATGTAGGGCCACTTTTTGAGGACATTTATCTGTTCTTGTTTTCTTTGCGCAACGCCTGAATTATGATCCTTGAGAGTTCAGACTATTCAATTCTTAAACAGGCTGAATATTTGCGATGGTACTTTATCCCTACCTATCATCGCCAGTGAAGTACTGTTCTAAACTTGTAACATGTTGCTGAAACATGTACTAGCATATACAGTATCTATCTTTGGGCAAGTTCACAAACATGCAGCCCATATGCTACAATTTACTCAAAAGAAGGCAACAATAAGCTGTGTATGGACGTTCATGTTTTGCAACTCTTCCTCTTTGTTAGTTTTTCCGTTTCCTATATTTGAAGACCGTTAACACACTCCATTGCAGCCACTGGTCCATGCCCTTGCCTGCTCTATAAATGGCATTGAGGCTGCACTGATGTGGTCCTTACCAAGGGCATGAGAGTTCTCAATGGTGGGTGTCCTCTCCTTGTGGTAAATGATTCCATATGTGCCCCAACTTGAGTGCATTCCCATCTTTAACTTGGCCAGATAAGGTTAAAGTGTGAGCCACATCTGCACCGCTGTTTTATTTTTCGTAGGAAACGGAAATTTCAAAAGGTCGGGTTGCATATGTTTGGTTCACTCTGGCTAGACCAGCTATGGCCATCAGTTGCGGACTTTTAGTATCTGTTGAAGTTCCTTGTTTCATACAGAGATTTCAGACGGCCGTGTTCTTAAACAGGATGGATGGATGTGGATACTGTAATATCACAGATCTGTTGCTCCCCGTTTAATGATTTGTGATTGTGATGATACCTTGTCGCCTTCTCTTTCATCATATAGATATATAAAGTGTCTCAACTTTAGTACAACTTTGTACCAAGACATTTATTTTGGGACGGATGGAGTAATCTGGTAAGTTGTCTACCAAGGTTTTAAATAGTTCCGGCAGCAGAGAAGTAGCATATGAATGTAAAGGAGCTGGATGAATCAACAGCTCAAGGTTTTGGTG